GTATCTTTTCTGGCTGTAGGGTGGCTCAGTGGAATCCATTTTGTTAACACCAGCAATCAGCTGTTTCACACCCAGTGTGTAGGCCAGAAGGGCATGCTCACGGGTCTGCCCATTCTTGGAGATGCCTGCTTCAAATTCACCAACACCAGCAGCAACAATCAGGACAGCACAGGCAGCCTGAGATGTGCCTGTAATCATGTTTTTTTATGAGGTCTCTGTGCCCTGGGGCATCAATGATGGTCATAATACTTGCTGGTCTTGAATTTCCACAGGGAAATATCAATGGTGATACCTGACTCACATTCAGCTTTCAGTTTATCCAAGACCCAGGCATACTTGAAGGAGCCCTTCCCGATCTGGGCAGCCTCCTTCTCATATTTCTTGATGGTTCTTTTGTCGATCCCACCACATTTGTACATCAGATGGCCAGTCGTGGTAGACTTGCCGGAATCTCCATGTCCAATGACGATGATGTTGATGTGAATCTTTTCCTTTCCCATCTTGGGTTTGAGTCAATGATTGTTTTCATGTCACCTGTGTTCTGGCGGCAAACCTGTTGGGAAAAAAGATCCATTTATTTTTAAAGAGAGTGGAAGGGAGGGGGAGAGACAGAGAGAGAAACATCGATGTGAGAGAGACACATCAATTGGTTGCCTCCTGCCTGTGCCCCTACCAGGGCCAAGGATTGAGTCTGCAACCTAGGTACGTGCCCTTGGCCAGAATCGAACCTGGAACCCTTCAGTCCGTGGGCGGACACTCTATCCACTGAGCAAAAACAGCTAGGGCTTGTTTGTTTTTGTTATTGTTGTTAATCCTCACCCAAGGATATTTTTTCCAATGATTTTTCAGAGAAAGTAGAAGGAAGGGAGGGAGGGAGAGAGGAAAAGAGAGAGAGAGAAAGAGAGAGTAACATCGATGTGAGAGAGACATCTCCTGTAGGTGCCCCAATCGAACCTGCAACCCAGGTACCCTTGACCGGGAATCGAACCTAAGACCCTTTGGTGGGTGCTCAAGCCAATGTTCTAATCACTGAACACACCAGCCAGAGTGAGGGAGAGAAATGTTTTAAAACTATTCTCTGTGAGGAATTCCTTCCACCAAAGAGGCCCTCTATGTAGCCTTTAAAAATTGAGTTAGGCCCTGCCCTCAGTGGTTGAGCATCAACTCATGAACCAGGAGGTCACAGTTCAAATCCCAGTCAGGGCACATGCCCCGGTTTCAGGCTCGATCCCTGGTAGGGGAGATACAGGAGGCAGCCGATCAATGATTCTCTCTCATTAATGTTTCTATCTCTCCCCTCCTCTCTCTAAAATAAATAAAAACATAAGCAAGCAAACAAAAACTGAGCTAGCCCTGGCCAGGTGGCTCAGTTGGTTGGAGTGTCAACATGTGCACCAAAAGGTTGCAGGTTTGATCCCAGTTGGGGTGAATATAAGAGGCAACAAATTGATGTTTCTCTCTCACATCAATGTTTCTCTCTCACTCCCATCCTCTCTCTTTAAAATAAAAGCATACCCTTGGGTAAGGATTAATATATATTTATGTATACACATATGTAGGGTGTCCCAAAAAATGTACACACACTTTAACAGCCGATAGCTCAATTTGTAAATGAAATGTATTTTAAGCCATCAACCTATGAACCAGGAGGTCACAGTTCGACTCCGGTCGGGGCACATGCTCAGGCTCCATACCGTGTGGGGTGAGCAAAAGGCAACCAATCAGTGACTCTCTTATCATTGATGTTTCTCTCTCTCTCCCCCTCTCCCTTCTCTGAAAACAAAAAAAAAAAAAAAAAAAAGAAATGTATTTTAATAAACACTGCCTTTATTCAAAATGTGTGTATACATTTTTGGGGGACACCAAATCAATAAAGAAATATATTTTTTTAAAAAAGAAAAGAAAAAAAGAAATGTATTTTAATAAACACTGTCTTTATTCAAAATGTGTGTATACATTTTTTGGGGACAGCCTATAAATAAAAATTGAGCTAATGTGCCTTGGAGACATCGCACAGCCTGGATCCATTTCAAAGCAGTTAAACCTCAGAGTAAGGCCCCAAGAATCCCTTGGAAGAACTGTTGATATTTTTTTTTTTTTTTTTTTTTTTGGGGGGGGGGGGGGGGGGGGGGGTGGTTCCTTCCAGTCTCCTCTTCCAGTGAATTCTTTCTCTTAAACCCTAAGCGTCTCCACCAGACCTACAACCAGGGCGCAGCTCTTCCGAGGCTAGTGGTCTAACTCCCTGAACCCATCGCCTTGGCCCCTTTCCACTGACTGTCCAGGGAGCTGACAGCAGCACCGTGTTTGCTCGCTTCTTTCCCATAACGTTTTTAGAGCCCAAACAGCCCACTTGGGCTCCCTCCTGTTGCTCTTTCTATCCTAGGCCGGTCCTTGTTTCAATGTCTCCAGCTTTAATAAACATGCCTGGGGAATGGGGGGGGGCGAGGGGGGGGATGCCCAGCCCGTGTGGCTCAGTGGGTGAGCATCGTCCCATACACTAGAGATTGCCGGTATGATTGTCAGGGCACATGCCTGGCTGCCGGCTGGATCCCTGCAGGAGGCAGCGGGTTGATGTTCTTTCTCATGGATGTTTCTATCTCCTTTTCCCTTTCTCTCTCTCTAAAAAAAATCAATTAAGACATTTAAAAAAAAAAAAGAGTTTGGGGAAGGCAAATGTCTCAATTTGCTTGTGCTCACGCCCCGCTGAGGGATAATGTCCGTCCAAGAAACGGGGAATTTGCTAGCTGAGGGTCCCGCTCCCTGGGAGGGTCGGAACACAGACGGAGTTTCGGACGGACGCCTTCGGAATCTCAGCTACTCGGCCTGTCAGGAGCGAGGCTCCTGCTTCCTTTTTCTCTCCCACATCTGGAAAGGACAGGAAATGCCGGCGAGTTTCGGGGGCAACAGGGTCAGAGGCGGTGGAGGAGTTCACAGGAGCTCGGAGGAGGAGGGGGTGACCCGGCTCTGGTGGGAATACCCAGCAGGCTCCCTGACGATAGTTTCTTAAGTTATAGGGAAGCATGGAAGTTCTGTTTCAGAACCGGCGTTCTCCAGTTTTGTTCAAAGGAGGCTTCGAAGACAAGGGGTTACTTCTTAACCACAACGAACAGGGCCGGGTCCTGACGACATTTGTCCCCACCGGCGTGCCGTCGTCTTGTTTTTGCCCCGATATGCGTCACCCGTCCGCTTGCGGAGCCGGCGGGCCCTGGCTCCTTCGGATTGGCTAAGGTGGGCTCCAAGCCCTTCGTGATTGGCCGCTGCGACTGGGGGACCCGCCTCCTTCCCGTCGCAGGTTCGGTTGAGCCTGAGGCGCGGGGGAGAATTGGGGAAATTGGAATTTCCCGCGGAGCTGACGGCGCTGCCTCTCCCCCTACTCCTTTTAATTCCACGCGCTCCAAAATATCCGCCATGGAGAAATCTTGGTAATGACCCAATCCCCGCAAGCATCCCAGCAACACATCTGACCCCTGCCCTGTCCCCTCTCTTCCCCGCTGCCGGGGGAGAATTCTGGGTAGTTGATGTCTCAGGTTCCCCCAGGGAATTCTGGGTAGCTAGCGCTTTCCATCACGCTACCCTACCCCCGCCCCCATTGTGGGAACTGGCCCTGCTTATTTCCCCCTAGAGAATCCTGGGTAATATTACAGAGGGCTCTGGGAAACTGACTTCTCCTGTTCTCCCCCTGCCCTCCACTCCCTGCCCTGACTCTGGGGACCCAGCCCCGCAGCCCCCTTTACCTAATTCTTACCCTGCAGTTGCTGCTCCTTCCAGTGATGGTTCAGGCATGAACCAGGCAAGTGAGCAGGCCTGAAGGGAAGTGGAAAGGAAGTCAGGATTGGGTTAAGTCGTAAGGGGGAGTGGGAGAGTGGGGGAGAGGAGTACAGAGGACCTAGATGAGAAGAGGGAGACGGTTACCACCTCTGCCCAGCTGCCCATCGCTTCCTTCCTGCTCTATCCGCTGCCTACCTCCTCCTCCTCTCTAGATAGCACATAACACACTACTATAAGTACCCGAGCCTACCCTTGACTTAGCTACCTCTTTCCCTTTACAGGCCAGGATGCCCACTGGTGCTGTCCTGCTGAAGGTTGGGGTCAGGCGTCTAAAGGGGCTGTGGCAAAGTAGGGTGTGACACGGGTCCAATCTGCTGCAATCATCATGAACTTCGAGGGTCTGGACCCTGGACTGGCAGAGTATGCCCCAGCTATGCATTCTGCCCTGGACCCCGTCCTGGATGCCCACCTGAACCCAAGTCTGCTGCAGAATGTGGAGCTGGACCCGGAGGGAGTGGCCTTGGAGGCTCTTCCTGTCCAGGAGTCAGTGCACATAATGGAAGGTGTCTACTCTGAATTGCACAGTGTGGTGGCTGAAGTGGGTGTGCCTGTCACCGTCTCCCACTTTGACTTGCACGAGGAGATGCTGTGGGTGGGAAGCCATGGGGTAAGAACTGTACCCCTCTGTGAGGGCTGAAAGGAGACATTGGATGTGCTTTATCTGGCTTTCGCTGCTTTGCAGGGAGCCAGGATTGAAATGATAAGAGTTAGCTGGGTCCCTTAATCCAAGAGGAAGGTAGTGGACAAAGAAGTCTATGGGACCCAGAAATGAGTTGCCTAGGTGTGCTTTTTTAGAAGGCATCCCACTTCTACAACAATTTGCCCATTCCATGCTTTGATTAATCTTGTTAGTCTGTAGCCATCCAAATCCAATCTCTAATGCAACCTCTCTTTTCCATTTTTATTATAGAATGGTTAATGCATGTTTCTATATAGCTTACATGGAATGATTCTGTCTTCTCTGGCTGATTTAATCTCTGAGAGCAGTTACCAATGTTGATTTTTTTAAAATGTGTATGCATACTGCCAGTGTGCTAGGGAGCCAAAGATTTTGGAAGAAATAACATGCTAGCCTTGGTTTACTAATTTACCTTCCATAAGGTGTGAATTGTTTTTTCATTAGAAAGAATGAAGGTTTTTTGGTAATACATTCATTTCAGTGGACAGTATCTGCTGCTATGGTAGGCCCAGCGAATTAAGCTGAATAAAACATAATCATTGCCTTCAAGGAGTTTACAAGACAATGAGGAAAAAAATACATATAAACAGATAATTTGTGGTACTTTAGAAGAAACTAAACTGTTTGACTTAATTATGAATTTAGGATATAAACTACTAAATGCCAGTGTGAAAAATATTTACTGGGTGCTAGTGAGCACACAGGAGAGTCAGAGGACCTCCAGAAGGAAGTGACACCTGAACTGAGTCCTAAGACATGAGTAGAAATCAGACGAAAAAGGGAGGAAAATGCTATCTTGGCAAAAGGAATGGGATCAACAAAAATTCCCAATATATCACACAGCGTAGTAATTGCAGGAACTACAAACCATTATGGTTTACTGGACTGGAAGCTGAGGCTGAAGAGTTAGACATTTCTTCATTCAACCAGTGTTTTTTGAGCTACCAGGTGCCAGGCCTTGCTCTGGGGTCTAGTTTTGGAATAAGCATTTTAAAGGGCAACCATAAT